CGCCGCACGCGAGAGCGCGAATGGTCGGGCGCGACGTTGCCGCCTCCCTGCCGCCGCCATCTTGGGTGCGCGCGCGCGACCCGGCAACTCCGCCGCGCGGGGCGCCCTCCAACATCGAGGCGAGGAGTAACGATTTTCCGAAAACGATTTCCAGTATGTGGAATCCTTCCCTTTTTTTTTTGTTTCTAGATCCGTTCCCGTTGTCTGCACTTTCTACACTCGAGGGTCACGAGGAGATTACACTTTTCTTGAATGGTAAGGAAGGGTAGATACACTTTCGCCGAGGTCCCGAACGCCAGAAAACTCAAAAAAGTACAAGATGGCCGTTTTGGCGGGACGGTATGCGATTTTGGAGATATTCGAATCGGATGATGAAGGAAATGAAGATCTAATGCTTCCTACGTCACATCTTCTAGCGAATGATGACGATAGTGATAATATATGATGCAGGAATACGTAACAATTGTAAAGAAATTAATTGCAAATCATTACATAATTTGTGAGAAATAATGATTGTACGATTTTTCAAAGATTACGTACAAGATTAAAACGCTAAACCGTTCTATACATGAAGAAAATGTATTAATCGTTATTTATATTTATATTACGTTGAGGTCTCGGGACAAACTTCGTATTTTCCTGTTTGTTGGTATTTTCAAGTTTCAAATTTGCCGCCGAATTCCCAGCCTACGGTTTTTTTTTAACATCTTGCACTAGCTCGGGATCGAGGGTAGAAAGTGTAGAGAAAGTCTACACTCGGTGTAGATGCCCTCGCAAAACGAACATGCGAAGTTTGCGTCACTTCCGTCAAAACGAACGCCAAAGGGTACACTTTTCGTTAAAATGTGGAAAGTGTAGACGAAACGAACAAACCTCTTCTATCTCTTCGGAGGATTCCGAGAAATCGGATAGGTTCGGAAGAATTCGGAAATCCTCGGGCAAGATACTCGACGGGACCGTTTTCTGACCTCTATCGATCTGAAGTTCTTCGCGAAACTTCCGACTCATCGCTCTGTATCGATAATCTGAAGTTAAGGTGAAGTGAAACACGTCGAGGAACTTAATCGACGTCGATAAAGAAGATTTTTCTAAATGCCTACGTAGCCGACGTTCGTTTTTATATTGACAGCTGTGTCGGATCATATTGGATATTGAACCAAATGGCATACTCCACCTGTCGTTTTCGTACAATAAATATCAAGAAATCGAAGTAAATCTCCAGAAATCCTCTGGATTCGTGCTTTCTGGGGCCCTAATTGACTGCAGAGGGACCCCCTGCGCCATCTGTGATTTCCAGGTCAATTAAATTTTCACTCCGAGACCTCGTATTCTCATCGTTTTAGCATAGAAGCGCATACAACACTTTTTTTGCCTTTATCCCGTTCAATTGCGAGTTTATCGATTACCAGAGTGTTCTAAATTGTCGTAAAATTGTCCTGACCCTTTCGTTTCTCATATCAGAGCCTTCGATAATTGTATATTGATCGAAATATGAGAACTCGACGCCATTTTGCTTCTGGTCTGGGCTAAGTTTACAAATTTTATCAAAAAATCCAAATTATGAATGTGTCAGGAAAATTCTTAGATGATCAGGAGTGATGTGTCAAAGCTTCGGACAGTTTGGTCTAATACCCTTAAAAAAAAATTGTTGTATTCGAATCGACTAATATGAAGGGGGTTTCACTTTACCTTAACTCCTTCGCATAACCAGAGTTAAGGGCGAGGGATAGTTGCGAGGAATATTTTTTAGAAATCTACTGGCGCTGTCCAGGTCAAACGGGCGATGGTTCTTGACAAACGTAGTCTATGCAAATTCGTTTTGCCTACACTTTATACACTTTTACGAAAAGTGTACCCTTTGGCGTACGTTTTGACGGAAGTGACGCTGTTCGTTTTGCGAGGCATCTACCCCGAGTGTAAACTTTCTCTACACTTTCTACCCTTGATCCCGAGCAAGTGCAAAAAGGGTAGCCCGCGAATTTGGCGGCAAATTTCAAAATTGAAAAGACCAACAAACAGGAAAATACCAAATTTATGCTAACATCTCAACGTAATATAAATAGAAGTCATTAATGCATCTTCTTCATCTATAGAGTGACTTAGCGTTTTAGTTTTGTACATAACGTTTAAAACAATTTACAATAATTATGTATTGCTACCTAACGTCAACGAAAGTACATCTACCCTTCTGCACTTTTCAAGAAAAGTGTAGTACCCTCGTTACCTTCGAGTGTAGAAAGTGCAGTCAATGCGTCAAACCTATAACATCGCCATGAGTGCCTCTTTTCTGTTTATCTTAGGCTATGGATAACATTTTATATCGTTTTAAAGATATACGGATATCTAAATGGCTGCAGTTGTGCGACCGATTAACAAGATGGAACCTTCAACTGTAAGGAAATACCAAGACTGTTCCGTCGGTTAAAAATTATTCTAAATAAAATCTAATTACGACATCCGGTCTCAAAGATGTCTTTGATGGGAATCGAAAATTAGCTTAAAGGGGTTTAAGCTAATTTTCTGTCACGATTGGAAACCATCTAGAGTTTTGCGACAAGTACGACATACATTTGGTTATTCACGTTGTGTCGTATATGGTATTTCGGTAGGGCACAGACCGAGCCATTGAAAATAAATTAAATAACATGTACGAAGCCGTGTCGGGCGTCGTAAGAACATCGCAATTGATTCGACACAATCTGCAGAATGTGTCGCAAAGGGATTAATGCTATTTAAGCGAGATATTGTACGAAAGTCTCGCATAAAATCGTAAGAGTAGGTCGAAATGGTTCGGGATGAATCGAGCGGAACTTCTTTACCAACCAAGGCGCGGCGATCTTCAAGGAGCTTCCGCTGATTGCTGAGAGATGACGCTGAAGTGCGTGCATCGCCGATTCCTCCGCCGAAGTGTCTTATTCGAGTCGACTGATTTGAGGGGGGTTCCACTTCACCTTAATAAATACACAAATTCGATCCTGAGCGTCTCGATCGACACATAAATCCGGATTTACTGGGTTTGGACCCGATAAATCCCAAATTTCGAGTACAAGGATTTGGAGACGAGTTATTTCACATCTAATGAACAAATACTTTAATCGGTATTAAGAGGATATGAAAGGCGCTAAGAAATTTAATCGACGTCGAGAAAGTAAAATTCGTCTATACCCTTTTTGGTGGTAATGCCGTTTTGAATCCTCAAGTGGTAACATAAGCTGGCGCGTCCCATTACCGACATTTATATTTATGTCGAAGTCTTTTACAGTTTACGTTGAGAATTATACGAACTGAAGGGTTTTATATGTCATTTCGGTAAAGTAATAATAAAAAGATCGATGTAAAACTGCCGAAATCCCATGAATTCATGACCGTTTATATTTTGACGAACCAACGTCGCCATCTGTGAAGTTTAGCTGCAACTAAATTTTCTCTCTAAAAACACGCATTAGCTGCAAGACAAGCCAACATTCTCTTGCAATCTTTGGTGAAAGTATTTTCCACATTTTCCCATCTGACTCTGTAATATTCCATTTCTACGGTATTCTAAATTGTTCGAGCTAGTCGTGAAACTCTTCATTTTATATTCTAAGCCTCCAAGAAGCGTAAAACATCGAAAATGGGCACGGATCACGCCATGTTGGTTCTAGTCCATGATGCGTAAATCAATTTTTGATGAAAAATAAAATTTCATGAGTTTCAGGACCTACTTTAGGGCCTCCATATTCACGTGGTAAAATTTGAACCGAATCGGTACATCCAATTCGGGGAATACCTTCACCAACGATTTAACTTCTCAGATATATATATATATATATATACTGACTCTTTCATATCCTCTTAAATACCGATACATCATTTCACGATAATAGAGATAAGACAACTCCATTACATCTGATGTAATTCCAAAGAATATTCCTTGAAGATAACATTCCATTATACATCCGTCTTGAAACCAGACGCTATTTGATACCACACATATTAACTTATCTCCACTACATCCTTATCTAATTACTATGTACCCACGTTGTCATTTTTAATTGTCAAATCATCCCTGGTTTGAAAGTGGAACTAGCGCTTTTGGTGAGCCATTTTTTCGTGGAGTTCCATTGGCCCTCTCGTATGCTTAACAAAGTCCATCAAATATTTCGAATTATGAATAATACAAATATGAATGATATATATGAAATATTAAAACGAATTTGTATCTCGAACGATTCATCAATTGTATAGAATAATCTTTACAGATTATTATTCAGGTTATCACCCCTTTCGTACGTACAACAAAATCCATGAATGATGTATATGAAATATTAAAAAGAATTTATATCTCGTACGATTCATCAGTTGTATAGAATAATCTTTACAGATTATTATTCAGGTTATCACCCCTTTCGTATGTACAACAAAATCCATAAAATATTTTGAATTATGAAAGCAATACAAATATGAATAACGTTCAAAATTCTATAAAGTATTTCATATGATTTATGAATTTGATGGAATAAGTTTCAAAGATTATCATTCACAGTTTATCAACTCTTTCGCATGCACAACAAAATCCATAAAATATCTCACATTATAAACACAATACACATATGAATAATGTTTAAAATACTATAAAGTATCTCATATGATTCATGAATTTGATGGATTAATTTTGAAAGATTATCATTCGCAGTTCATCAACTCTTTCACAAGCACAACAAAATTCATAAAATATTTCGCATTATAAATGCAATACAAATATGAATCATGTTCATAATACGGTAAACTATCTCATATGATTAATGGATTGGATGGAGTTAATTTCAAAGATTATCATTCACAGTTTATCGGCCAGTTTTAGATCGGAAAGCGCGCATCGTTACCCGCGTCGGCAAGGTCGAATCCGCGAATTTTTATCCCGAGGCGTCGCGACGCTCGCACGATAATGGAGGTTAGGAACACCCGCTTCAGGACGCATGCGCGACCGATTATCTCTCAGGGGTCGAAACGAAGTACATTTCAGTTCTCTCTTGTGGCCGGTTCGAGAAGAACTGCCACGTGAGACACGAAATTCAATTTTAACGACCGCATCTGCGCCATTCCCAACGAGTCGAGGTGTCAAGGCCAGGCCTGGTTTCAAGACAATGTCACATTGTGCCCAAATTCTGCGCGCACAGGTATTACCACAGAATAAACCTTAAAATTAATTAACCATTCAATTAAAACAACAGAAGTTGACACAAAACGGAGCATCTTTTCATACCTGCAAGGAAAATTTTTTCACCAACGTCAAAACTGCTTCGTCCTCCAAGGACTTCTTGACCTCACACAAAGGTCGTTCCGATGTGACAGATCTGCCAGAACTTTTTTAATTCAAGCCGTTGGATGTTGCACGTCACAATGAACCGTTTATCTTGAGTTGGTGGATGAATCGTCCTGGAATATTCAAGAAACAAGTCCTTAAGTGTGCTTTAGACATGTCGAGTACAATTAAAAAATTTAATTGCATGGAACTCATGAGCTAAGGCATTTTTAAAAAAAGGTTTAAAGAAAGCTTGTTTAGATTGTTAATAGCTGACTTAAATGTATATTGGGACGTGCAATACTTTGTAGATAGAATTGATTTTTCGGGGACTGTCATCGAAGGAAATATTAATGAGGCTTTAATGAAATTCTATTTAGTATTTTGCATTCAATGTTCTAATGATATCCGATGCGATTAAAAATCTTAACCACATGTAATCTATCTTATAAATAGCTATTTTGTAAATATCTACAATGATTAAACGTAAATTCATGAGATGTTTTTAGTTGAATATGGGAGATCAATTTCGAAATGAATTACTTGATTAATCTGTGTGCCAAGTAAGCAGCTCCGTTTAAAGTTTTATTTAGAATTAAAAGCCGATTGAAAGAGATACATTGATTATTTTCTAACCCTGAAATATTTAATTCTTACTTCCATTTGGCTCGAAACGGTCGAACTTTGGATTATGTGCAATCAGTGCGATTGCACTTTGGTCTGAGATTTTTCGGTCGACTCCGATGCATCTTATTGTCAGTCATCCAGCGATTAATGATAACAGACTGTTAATCGTAAGCTGCAATATCTTGGAAAATCATTTTCTTCCCAGCTGCTTCTTTTTCAATTCTTAAGGAAGATCAGCTGATCGAGAAGGGGCATTTCGATGTCCTAAGAGTCTGACAGTGTCAAACTGCATGTTTGATCTTAAAAATAGATTGTATTCCTCGCTTCGTTACGTAATACAGTAGAAAGAAGCTATACGCGTGTGGGAGGTATATACGTATTTCTAGGTTATGAAGGTTACGATACCACGCGTCTTAAATTTTTCTCATCGCCTGCAAGTTTTTCAGAAGAGATTAACTTGACTCCTTAACGGTGTAATATAAAATCGTTGTTCATAAACAACACTTGTTTGAAATTACATTTCGAGCGTTTAATTGCGAAACTGTGTTACAAAGTGACAAATTTGAAAGATGATTCCGCGCGACGGCGCTTTACTACTGGCGCGAAATTTGAATTGCAAAATGAGAAGTTCAAAATCGTCAAGAGTTTTGTTCATAATAAATATTGGAATGGCGCAAGGTACTTAATTTAAATTGTTCTATGTTAAATCATCTGTAAAGCCACTTAAGAATTTGAGGAAAACTCCTATAGAAATAGGAAAACTTATCGAAGCATAATAAACGAAAATATTTTCATACGTGTTTAATTAATATCAAGTCGCAGTGTTAAATATTTTTTTACATGTGTTTAATGCAGTAACAAATAATAAAAAAAAGGCTTTTAAGATCTACTACACAGTGAATAGTATCAACACTTCCAAAGTATTTTTCCTGTAATTTGAAAAAAAACCTTTTTTATAATCATTCAGGTTTTATTAACCGAACTTTCTCATTTAATCTCCTCCCTGTGAAACATTAACGAATTAATGATTAAATATTTGTTGCAGAGATTCACCATCTTTGCGGCAGACATCCAGCAAAGATGCTTCAGCGTGAGTCCTTTGAGCTTCGCAGCAGCGAGGGTGGCTATGTCCAAGTTCGACAAGACCTCTTATCTACCTTACGAGAAGTTAGATAAGAACATCCACACAGTTAAGAAACGGTAATTAAATAAAGTGCCATAACACAAGTAGTTTTAAAAGAGCCTGTCAAACTCAAAAGCCAAAAGTGATGATTAATATTTTTAAGGTGAAACAAAAGGTTCGTTCTATACATATAAAACGTAAAAATATTGATAAAACTTTTCTCCAAACTGGATGCACCGAATCATTTGAAACTTCATCAAGTGATTATGGAGGTCCTAAGGAAGAACGTGATGCTCGTGAAATTTCTTTTCAAAACAAAGTTTCTTCTATTTAGCCTAGACTAGAAGCAAGATCACATTTCCTTCCTGAAAAATGAATTTTTACGAGCACCACCTTCTTCATCCTTAGAGTCTCCATAATCACATGTTGAAGTTTCAAATGATTCGGTGCATTCAGACTGGAGAACAGTTTTATAGTTATTTTGACGTTATATATATATATAATGAGCCTTTCATATCGACTCAATGGTTTCTTGTAAACAGGATTAAATAATTATCATGATGAATTACAGATTAGGCCGTCCTTTGACATTATCCGAAAAGGTCCTGTACTCCCATCTCGATGAACCCGACAAGCAAGACGTCGAACGTGGCACCACCTATCTTAGATTAAGACCCGACAGAGTAGCGATGCAGGATGCGACAGCTCAAATGGCCATGTTGCAGTTCATCAGCTCTGGTAATTATCTTTATCTTCCTATTAAAACATTCTTAAAGCATTCTATAAACATTTTATATAACAAAAATGTTGCTGGCCCATTTTCAAGTGTTCACATTTGTTGCGGCAAGTAAAATTTCTTGTTATGACTGTGAATTCTTTTTTTACATGCAGATGTCACTTTAAGAACTTTCCAACTGATGAAATACCCAATAAGGCTTATGCTCGATTCCACCAATCTCGGTCAAAAAGCTAACCCTCGGTTACAAGTTGCCTGTTCCATTATATTTTAACTGCGGGTTCATTTCCATTAACCGCCGTTTAGATTAATCAGCCGAATTCGATCGTTTAGTTTCAGTTAACTGAACTTTAATCTAAAAACTATACAAACGTGTGGAAAGCATGGCTTAGATTGTATATTGACATCTTATGACGAAACGGATAAAGACGTTTTTGATTCTATTTACAATTACTTAATGATCCAAGAAAGCTTGAAAATATTATATATTAATTCTTAGTCAAAGAACTTTACTTCTTGAGGCTAGTGTCTGTCAAATAACTTCTTGCATGAATCTTGTGGGACTTCGTGTCTCGATAAGGGTGGATCTATCTTGCTTTCTACTTGATTAGAGTATCAGCCAATAACGCGAACGCGTTTACCGACAATTCAACCTACTTCGAATAGCGTATAAGATTAGTTAATCGCGCTCTAAATAAATTTGGTGGAACATTTACGTATTTAACCCATGATTAACTTGGAGGTTAACTTTAACCTACGGTTAGGTAATCAATGATTTAACCGAGATTGGTGGAACAGGGCATTACTGTTTGAAAATAATTAGAACTAACAGAAGGTATTTAATTTCTAGGCCTGCCAAAAGTTGCAGTCCCCTCTACAATCCACTGCGATCACTTGATCGAGGCCCAGATTGGAGGCGAAGAAGATCTGAAGCGAGCGAAGGACCTGAACAAAGAAGTCTACAATTTCCTGAAGACTGCCGGAGCCAAGTACGGAGTGGGTTTCTGGAACCCGGGCTCTGGAATCATCCATCAGATCATCCTGGAGAATTATGCATTCCCAGGTCTGCTGATGATCGGAACAGACTCCCACACCCCTAATGGTGGAGGTCTTGGTGGACTGTGCATCGGTGTCGGAGGAGCTGATGCTGTTGACGTGATGGCTAACATTCCCTGGGAGCTGAAGTGCCCGAAGGTCATCGGAGTGAAATTGACAGGAGAATTGAAAGGCTGGACCAGCCCAAAGGACATCATCTTGAAGGTAGCTGGCATCTTGACGGTCAAAGGTGGCACCGGAGCCATCGTAGAGTACTTCGGACCTGGTGTCGACAGCATCAGCTGCACCGGCATGGCTACTATTTGCAACATGGGTGCTGAAATTGGTGCAACCACCTCTGTCTTCCCCTACAATAATCGCATGAAGGATTATCTGAAGGCTACTGGACGTGGAGAGATTGCATCTGCTGCCGATAACTTCAAAGGCAGTCTCTTGACTGCGGATCCCAACGCCAAGTATGATCAAATCATCGAACTGGACTTGTCTACTTTGGAGCCGCATGTCAATGGACCTTTCACTCCAGATCTTGCTCATCCCATCTCCAAGCTGGGTAAGCGATAAAGACTTTCTGTACTTCCAATCGATGCAATTAAGGTGAAATGAAATCCCCCTCAAATCGACTCGAATAACACACTTTTTTTTAAAAGGGTATCGGACCGAACTGCCTGAAACTTTGACACAAGACTTGTGAGCATCTAGGAATTGGCCTGACACATTCCAAATTTTGATTGTTTTAAAAAGTTTGTTAACTTGGACTAAACCAGACCCAAAATGACGTCGAAGTCTCGTATTTCGATCGATATACAAGTATTGAAGGCTCTAATATGAGAAACGAAAGTGTCAGGACAATTGTACGACAATTTAGAACATTCTAGTAATCGAGAAACTCGCATTTGAACAGGATAAAGGCAAGAAAAGTGTCTTATACGCTGCTCTGGTAAAACAATGGTAATACGAGGTTCGGAGTGAAAATATAGTTGACATGGAAATCACAGATGGCGCAGGGTGTTAGTGTGCAGTCAATTAGGGCATCTAAAACCGTGAATCCGGAGGATTTCCGGAGTTCTACTTCGATTTCTTTACAATTATTATACGGAAACGATATATGGAGTATACCATTTAGTACAGTCGTCGATCAAATTTCCCGACGTGTTTCACTTCACCTTAAAACTCCAGTTCTACTGAAATAATTTAAAGTCATAACACTTTTTTCCATCATTAATTGCACAAGCTAATTTCATTATAGAGATTTGAATAAACAGTTTAGATTCGATTGAGGAGAAGGAATGACAAGAATTTACTGTGACGTTGGTTTGTATCATTGACACGATTAATGAAGGAATGTTGTCAGCGTACTCACCTGATAAGGTGATAAATTTAAAAGATAACACACACGTACAGATAACATTCTAATTACGCATCAGAGTACGTAAAACATAATTGGATGATACGGAACGCAATTATATTTTTAATTATTAGGGCCGTACCTGAAATTAAATTATTTCCACTGTCATTCGATACCATATTTCGAGAATATATATTATTATTAAAGGAAATAGATTATTATACAGGGTGATCCACAACTCATCATCTACCTTATATACTTAAATTCCTTTTACAAAATCAAACAAAAGAGCGTAGTATGGCAAAATGTATGATCAATAATTTTTAAACTATTGAGCATTAAAAACAACCGAAGGTTTATCGTTATTTTCGCGCGTCCATAAAAAATAAGAAATTAATTACTCGCCACCAAGCACACTATATTACAGCTACATAACACTGGAATAACATGATATATAACAAATGTTATTCAATAGATACATTGATATCACATAACGTTGAATTATTGCCATTCAGTAACATTGTTACAAACTTGTTAGCATTGCAGTTATTTAATATTAACTTAACATATAACATGATACCGATATGTTATGTATACATTACATTATTCATTTTGTAACAGTGTTATATAGCTGCGTAGAAACTAGTAATACAAATCTTACTTATATATTATATGTATGTTACGTTACATGTTACAAATGTTATGTAACGGTTATATTATTGTTACATAACCATATTCAGTGGATTACCTATTGTTTTTCCAAAATTGATATTTGCTAATTATCAGATACGTCAGTACAACAATTGTTTAAAATCTCATACATTCTTCACAGAAATTGGTTTAATGTAATATACATATTTGATCATACGTTTTGCCATAGGATTTCTTTTTTTGTTCGGTTTTATACAAGAAATCTACAGATACAAGGTGGACGAGCGTGGATCACCCTGTACACCTCTTTATGCAGTTGATGTTTAATTTCAGGTGAAGCTGCCAAGAAAAATGGATGGCCAAATGAAATCAAGGTTGGACTTATTGGTTCGTGCACCAACAGCTCTTACGAAGACATGGGTCGATGTGCTAACATTGCTAAGCAAGCAATAAAGCATGGGCTGAAAGCCAAATCTGCGTTCAATGTCACTCCAGGCTCCGAACAAATCCGTGCTACCATCGAACGAGATGGAATCGTAAGTAATTTGTCACTTGTTGATACACTAAAAATTATTACTTCTGGAATTAACAACAGATATGTCAAAAATGAATTATTTCTTCAAAAAGCTTCCCGTCAGCTTTAAACTATACTCTCCTGATTCATTTACTTATTTTCTTTTTCATTTATTTAGAGCACAGTCTACCGTAAGGAGCTCTATGGACCTTTCAGGAACATCCTAACCTCATTTCTTTCCTTGCTATGTTAAGCTACTTTCTCACTTGCTGCGTTGCTGCAAAATTGAAAATCTGACTAGCTCAAAATTCTTTCTGTATCACCTATAATAACTGTCTACTTATTTTCAACTAGTCAGAGCGTTTTACTGCATGCATTTTTACAACAATGCTGCAAGTGAAAAGGTACCTTTAGCTAGCAGCAACACTAGCGATCCTTGCGGGAAGATCCGACACTTTTAAAGTTACAAAAGTGGCACGAAATTATGTTAAAAAATGGAGAAAATCATTCGATACATAGGAAAGGATGAAAATATTCTATCGGAGATCATTTGCCAAGATTTAGAGTTCCGTATACTCATAATTGTCGGCCAAGTTCTTAAATTAGACTTCTGATCGTATCTTTCATACAGGCTGAGACGCTTCGAGAGTTCGGAGGAACCGTCCTGGCCAACGCTTGCGGTCCTTGTATTGGACAATGGGACCGCCAGGACATTAAAAAGGGCGACAAGAACACCATCGTCACCTCGTACAACAGAAATTTCACTGGACGTAACGATGCCAATCCTGCTACACATGCCTTCGTCACGAGTCCTGAACTCGTCACGGCCCTCTCCATTGCTGGTCGATTGGACTTCGACCCAACAAAGGACAGGCTCAAGGGAAAAGACGGAAAAGAATTCTTATTAGACAACCCATTCGGTGGGTAAATTACTTCAAACATGAAGCAATCTGTTTGCACAGTTAAGGGGATGTGAAAGCGGCATCCGAAAGTTCAATCGTTCATAAAACTTTTCTACAAACTGGGTGTCCCAAATCGTTTCATACTTTAAAACGGGAATATGGAGACCCTAAGGTAGGTCCTGAAACTTCGGAAATTTCATTTTTTATAAACTATTTTTAAAATACCTATAAACAAATTTGAAAAGAATTGAAATTTCATGAGTTTCAGGACCTTCCTTATAGTCTCCCTATTCACGTTGTAAAGTTTCAAACTATTCGGTAAACCGAATTAAGAGAAAAGTTTTATAAACAAAATCTCTTCGACGCCACTTTCACATCACCTTAAAATGATACGAAAGGCGCTGAGAAATTCAGTCGAGGTCGATAAATTAAAATTCATCAATACCCTTTTTTCATTCAATGTGGCACTACGACCAAAAAGGTATACATGAATTTTATTTTATCTGCGTTACCACTTGAGTATTCAATATGGCATTACCACCAAAAAGGTATACATGAATTTTATTTTATCTACGTCGATTAAATTTCTCAGGTCATTCATATCACCTTAAAGACAGATTACACCAGAATAGTTATAAATGATAATTTTACTTTAAGGCGACGAACTCCCAAGCCGTGGCTTCGACGCTGGAATGGACACCTACGAAGCACCTCCGTCAGATGGCAGCAGTGTTAAGGTCGACGTTGACCCGAAGTCTCAGAGGCTTCAGATTCTCTCGCCTTTCGACAAATGGGACGGAAAGGATCTAACCGATCTGACAGTACTGATGAAGATCAAGGGAAAGTGCACAACCGATCACATCTCCGCTGCTGGTCCCTGGTTGAAATACCGTGGTCACTTGGACAACATCTCTAATAACATGTTCATTGGGTTGGTACTCATTGCTAAATACCCACTATCGGTATACCAAGCCACTGATCTATATACTAACTGGATAGCTGATACCTATTTGCTCCATACGGAGAGGACTTCGGCAAATTTAAGAGGATATAAAAGAGTCAGCCTATATATAGATTGACACTTTCATATCCTNTATAAAAGAGTCAGCATATATATATACCTGAGAGGTCAAATCGTTGGGGAAAGTATTCTCCGAATTGGATGTACCGATTCGTTTCAAATTTTACCAGATGAGTATGGAGGCCCTAAGGTAGATCCCGAGACTCATGAAATTTCATATTTCATGAAAAATTCATTTACTTATCATGGACTAGAACCAACATGGCGTAGTCTGTGCACGTTTTAGATGTTTTACACTTCTTGGAGGGTTGGAATCGAAAATGGAAGTTTCAGGACCTAGCTGAACAATGTAGAATATCGTACAAATGGAAAATTACAGAGTCAGATGGGAAAATGTAGAAGATACTTTCACCCGATTGGTTGAAAATAGGCAGACAGCCATCACAGATGATACAGAGAGAATTGCGAGCCAAGCATCATTCTTATATACGTTATCATTCTTTTCCCAACAGCGCCGTCAATTTTGAGAATGGAGAGATGAACAAGATCAAGAACCAACTAAACGGAGAATGGGGAGCAGTACCAGACGTAGCTAGGCACTACAAGAAGAACGGCGTCAGGTGGGTAGTCGTCGGAGATGAGAACTACGGAGAAGGCTCCTCCAGGGAGCACGCAGCCCTGGAGCCTCGCCATCTTGGAGGACGTGCAATTATCGTTAAGAGCTTCGCCCGAATCCACGAGACCAACCTTAAGAAGCAGGGAATGCTTCCGTTGACATTTGCCAATCCCAGTGACTACGATAAGATCCAACCCACCGACAAGATAAGTTTGCTTGGCCTGAAGGACTTGGCACCAGGAAAGGTAAAGCTGATGCTTGGCAAAATTTCCCTAAAGTTAAGTGAGATCCACCGAGGTCGGTAATAAGAGTTCTTCTAAATACCTGCGTTACCGACGTTCGTATTTATATTGGCCACTCTGCCGAATTATATTGGGTATTGCACTAAATGGCATACTCCATATACCGCCTTCATACAATAATTACTAGGAAAGTGGAATAAAACTCCAGAAATCCCCCAGATTTGTGGTTTTTGATGCTCTGATTGAATGCAAGGTGCCACTCCGCGCTATCTGTGATTTCAGTGCCAACTAAAATTTCTCTCCAAAACCTCGTGCCACCTTTGTACTAGCTCACAAGACACTTTCTTTTGCTTTTATGTCGTTTGAATACAACGGAATAAAATCAAAAAAGTGTCTTATGCGCTTCTTTGCCGAAACGAAGGTAACACGAGGTCTCAGAGCGAAATTTTAGTTGGCGTTAAAACCCCAGATAGCACTCTGTCCTCCATTACGGCATCATAAACAACGAATCCGGCGGATTTCTGGAGTTTTATTTAAATTTCTTTATAATTATTGTACAAAAACGACGTATAAAATATGCCATTTAGCGTAATACCTAATATAATTCGACACAGCTGTGAATATAAATACGAACGGATCGGTAACGTAGGTATTTAGGAGAATCTTGTTTACCGATGTCGATTAAATTTCTATAATTGGTCTCATATACCTTCAGGAATATTATCTAATGGTATTATATAATATTATCTCAAAGCCAATTCACTCTAATTATTACCAAATTGGAGACAATAGAACTAATATTTCCTGGGTTAACTTTCAGCCAGTCAAGGCGGAGATCAAGCACAAGGACGGCAAGGTGGAGACGATAACCCTGAACCACTCGTTGAACGAGCAACAAATAGGCTGGTTCAAAGCAGGCTCCGCTCTGAACCGCATGAAGGAAATTGCCGCCGGCAAATAAGCTGCTCTGACACCCTAAAACAATACAAAAAAAAAAGCGAATCAACAGAAGCGCCACCGCGAGAGCCAGTCGAACTAAACGTCGACCATAGTCACGCATAGGGTGAATTAGTTCAGAAAATATCCGCAAGGCCGATCAATCGTTGCCTCCCCTTCGCTGATTTCGAAATCCATTAATTTCGGATAACCAAATCCAACGAAAAGGTCCCCATAGAATTGTCTATTCCCTGGACAAGAATCCAGAATTACAGCGATGGTCGTCTCTCGATTGGTCGCCGACAATACTTAACGATACAGCTGCCATTATTTATTTATCCAAGCCGACAGGACTCGGCCACGAATCATGGTGCGTGAGATATTCTAATAGAATCTTCGGTCCCCCTCTTGGGGACCGTCCTTTGTAATTTTAATCCTTATCTTACGATAACCGGTAACAATGTCAACGATAAGAGCAGCACGTGGTTATGGTAGACGCTTTCGCGTAAGCGATTTTGTTACGTGCCTTTCCGAATCGAGGGAAACGCGGAATCGTTTCGGCAGACGCGAGATAACCTCAAAGTCTGACCGTGGTCGTGCAAGAGGGAGAATATCACGTGTGTGTAAATATATTTTTCTCGCGATTAGAGAGTAAGTCGTAAGTCGTAGGACGGAATGTACGAAGCACTGGATCAATTGTCAATTGTTAATAGTGACTGGCTTCGAGGTAATCATTAAAAGCATGTACTTGTTTTGAAGCCTCGCAGAGAGGTGCAGATTGTTGTTCAACTCGAATAAAAAGTTATAGTGATCTTTACAGGTTGTACGCGGTAATTCTTTCGACGTGCGACTTCGTGGACCTTTTTACCAGTTTAAGAGGATATTAAAGTATCAGCCTATATATATATATAGGCTGACTTCTCATATATATACAGAGATGAGTTGGGAGATTGCTCACGGGCAGAGTCGCGCGATCGCACCATGTACTGCCTCTGATTTCGTACGTTAGCTTTCACCGTTATTTGCCCCCAAGGGCGGCGCAACGAATTTCTTACCAGTAGGCGCTCGCGCAATCGCGATGGCTGTGCCATCTACCAGTTGCCGTTGGCGGCTCACGTATTCGCGATGGTAA